GCGTGGCTAGGGTTGTGGTTATATACAAAATCTTTAAGGGGGCTGCTGCCACCCATGCCCACCTCTGGAAACATCTCTGTTTAAAACAACTTTATTCTTAAAAGAACATTTTCCCATTAATCAGCATTCATGAACAGTGTTGAGGTAACGAGGTTTTCTAAAAACCAATACTGGCTGAAACTGACTGAGTGGTTTCACATACATCATCCAAACAAGCCTGCAGTGAATCATAAAATGACGAGACTCGGAGTTGTGTCGTAACAATACCTATTTCCTTATTCTTAATTAGCAGAGCCATCCATGCGGCAGCTGCTGCCCAGATTTGCCTGTCACACCCTTATATTTTCCCGATAGTCATCTTTCAATTAGACGATCTTCGGTGGTGGCTTTGGACTGGTGGGACTGGCTGCTCGGTCCTGTGTGTGTGTGTGTGTGTGGGAGAGAGAGAGACTGGTGTGTAGTTTTTGTTATGACTTTGGACGGAGGGTATGACAAGGATTTCCCCGTGATTGTGACTCATCGATACACCCACCTATTCTTCTTGTTTCCAAAAGTTTTATTTTTAACCGCTGGGTGTCCTGTCACCAGTGGGTGTCTGTTTCTCCGGTAGAACAAGAATTACGATTCACGACACAGTTAAAAAACAGAAGAAGAATAAAGCTGCCAGTTGGGTGTTTTAGCTGTTACTTCTTAAAAATGCTAATGTTTTGGATCTACTTTTAATTCACTAACAGCTGCCGCTCATCCCCCAACAAAGCGCGCTCACGACAGCCGCGCCCCCGCACAAAAGGTTCCAACACATCATGATGTGAGCGCGGAGGACGAGAACGGTCAAGTCCACTCCCTCCAAAACACTCTCCACCCTGCCATATAATCCATATCATCTGCTAAAGAATTTCATTCCCGACCTCACCGTGGGATTAAAAATTAAAAAATATGGCTAATTTAAAACTGGCTAATTTAAAAATATATTTAGCCCAATTTAAAATAGCCAAAAACCAAATAACGGCAGTCGTAAATGAAAGTTGAACCATTCATGAGGATACAACCACAGTAATTACTTTTAGCTATGTACGCGTTCTATGTTTTATTCTAACATCTGAATAGTATATTAAAAACATAACACAAGGTAAGTTTACTCCACTCTGAGATGACTATTATCATATTCGCTGTAACAGTTCAGGCCACACAATGTCAGACTGACCTCTAGCGGTACAAAGGCGTCATTACAACTGTGTCGCTCGGTGTTCTGGTGAAACGCCAGAGATTACGGTTAGTCCAGAGTCTCGCGGGATTACGAGATCACATTCAGGTAAACAGTAAGAAGAAACGTAAGGTGGCAGTATAGTCCTACCCCTCTGATGTAAGTGCACTATAACTACCGTACTGAATAGGTGGCACAGACAAGGTTACACTTTAGCACCCTGACTAAATTATGGCCAACTTTTCTTTCTTTCCAGATGTTTATAGTTTCGATTGAAATATGAAAGTCACACGAGCATGCTAAATCTTTTCTTATAGGACAAATATGGCACATAACCTGTATATAAAGGAGTTAAATAAACACTGCTGTCATTGAAAGTAATAATTAAGCAAACAGTAATATAAAATTTGAAGTGACCTAGCTTGAAATAATGGTTCAAGCTAATTATGACTTTATGACTCTAATTACTCCCAGCCCCATTATATCCCATAGTGCAGTAAATAAACATGGCTACAGTTTGTAACGTTTGACCTTTCAGAGCTCTGGTGTTGATTCTCAGTCTGTGATTATTTGCATCAAAAGGCCACTTAAATGAAGCTGATGCTCGTTTTGTTTTTACATCACTTACACTGGTTTGTGAACCATTACTGTCATTAACAATTACTGGTCATCAGGGTTCATGTTATGTCTGCCTTATAGTGGTCCATAAGCCAAACAGAGGAAAACGACGACAATGAGCTGCTCATTAACTGCTGCATTCTCACTCACTTCACGAAACACGGGGAATGTGCATGAGTCAATGGACGTGTCTGTGTGTGCCTGGTTTGCAGAGAATAGCTGCGGTGGGATCCAAGACCACTAACAATTGGTCTTAGCAGCCAGAGTTTGCATGCTAATTGACAAATGACGTAACGTGTCAAAGACAAATCGGAGGCTTTTTGTTCAGGCTGACTGGGAGGTCATTAGTTGCAATTAACAAGCAGACTGACTCTGGCAGGATCAGCAACGAGCTTCTAATTATCCTGCCTTAATGACCTGAGGGTTTAAAAGGTTCCGGTAAGAGATGGATGCAACATTAATATTTTTAAGCTTGTCATTTTACACATTTTCTCTTTAGGTATTAGAAATGTGAACATCAGAACCAGGAGAAGAACCTGCATCATCAGTAGTACTGCTAAGTTCCTGGTGAGGATTTCTGTTTGGCCCATTACTGACAGGTGAAACTGTAGCTTTACCAGTTTCTTGCGCAATTTCAACCAGCTGTTTACAAAATGCACATCGAAAGACAGCAAATGCTGACTCAGTAGAGACTTATATGTGTAAATGATTACTCCAGCATCCCATTTTTCCTCATTTTCAGTCGCAGTAGCGTTATTCTAAAATGTCACGTCTGACTTGACGTTTAACACTTTACCAACAGAAGCCGTAGAAACAGCTTCAAGGTGCAATAGGACAGGAAATATTAAAAGTTGTAGCATGAAATTCCATTTCCCCAACACTTAATCAAAGTAATCCACAGTAAAAACACATAATATATGTGGGATTTTCCCCAAAAATTGGGCTGTATTTTTTATTTACCTACAGTGTACAGTGAAAGTGAAAGAGGGAAACAATTCTGTTTTTTACCAGAAAGAAGAAACATGAAGTGATTTTAAGTAGTGAGTAACTTCCATGTATTTCAAAGGAACTCTATTTCCCTTTTTAACCTGTAAATATGCTTTATTTTTAGGGGTATGGCCATATTATGGAATAGCTTATACTTCCCTTCTTACATCAGGTGTACATCTACATTTTAGGGGTACAGATGACATAATGGAGAAGCTTAACCTCCCCATTTTACATTGTATGCACAACTGACTTTTTTAGTCACGTGGGCCGAAGTATGGAGTGGTTTTAACCTCCCCATCGTATATTGTATGCTTACATTACTTTTAGGGTCACTTATAACACTTAACCTTGCCTTTTGAGGATAAGGCTATAGCAACATTTGTAGTATTGAAAGAGTGTTAGTTACTCACTTACCTAAGGTGCATAGAGTAAATAAAGGTTTTTTGAATCCTTTCTAAAAAATTGTATTGTTACCTCCTTATTCTAGTGTACTATCTGCTAAGTTTTTTTAAAGGTATGATTATAACCTAAATTAAAATAAAAGACATTGTAATTTAATGCTAAATCTGGAGGGCAATATTATAAAGTGCTATGCAATTTTTTTTAACTATCAAAACACCAAAACACAAGTGATACAACACGTCCAAACATAAAACATCTGCATATCTATTGCATAGGATCTCTCTGTCCTGCGTTACCTGTTTGTCTAAAACACAAAACTAGCCCGGGCGGTTAGTGTGGGACATGATGACTGTGTAAAAGCAACACTACTATATGCACTTTTTTACTTGCAGGTGATCTCAGCATGGGTGAAAAAAGGACTGGCACTGCTATAATGAGAGGTAAGCAGTAGTACTGCTGGCTGTACTGTAACTGCAGAAATAATCATGCATTGTTTCTAAGTGATACAAAACAGCACATGAATATATCTGAGGTTCAGTTATGCTTATTTTCCTTGGCCACACCCCGAAAGAATCACTTAATTACCAAGAGATGCATTTGCAGTGACGTCTTGCCCAAGGTCACTTTAGTAGTGCATAGTGTCATCACAATGGGAGTCTCTATGGATAGAGAGAGTTTTTCTCCTTCACTAATTGAATAACTTAATTAATGACTGGGTTTGACCAGATTTGACCTCCACGAACTGTAAGCTTTATGAGGTTGTGTAAACACCAAGACAGAGGACATCTAATCACATAATTAAACCGCTGGGTCATATTTAAAGAAAAACCTGCACTAATTATGCAATAACAAACAAGCTCGGAGAATAAATCATTTACAAAGCAGAAATCCTCAGAGGGAGCATATACTTGTTCATTTGCACGTAACCTAAATTCATTATTTATCCAGGAGAATGAATAAATTGTCCCCGCTAGCCTGTGATTGAACTTGAGCTGGTGAAAAATTCAGCCCGGCGCAGCTGTACTCCAGTGAGTCGGTATCTAATGAAAATAACAGAGCAGGAGAGAAGGCACGGGCTCGGTAATGATTGCATTTGGGTTAGGAGTGGAAAAAGAGAAAATAATGAGGATAAGGAAAGAGACTGAGGGGTAGAGTTTGGTGTTTTGCGTGGGTTGTTTTGGAACTGATTGTAAGATCTCACTCATTTACTTTTAGTGCACCTCTTGGCTCGGTCCCTGATTGTGTTTCATGAGTTGGTCTCACCTGAACGCAGTCCTGAGGCTGGAACCTGCGGTTCATAGAAACGCTAAAACCCTTTTTCGCCTCTCATAAAAAGTAGATTTATTCTTAATCGATTCTCAAAACCTATTTTCATTGAGTGGTTAACACAATAAACATGTGTCTATACCTGTTGCTTTAAAAAAAAGTTTCCATAATCTTTTATCAGCCACTTTTTCTTATTCTATTTATTTTTTGATAAGTATAAAGCCATCAGAAGAAAAGAAAAAGAGTGAGCGAGAGAGTAAGCGCAATAAGGAGAGGTCGGGAGAGAGACTAAGAGAATGGTGCATAAAGATGAAAGCTGATTTCCTCCGTCTCAGTTCCACTTTAACAAGGTTTTCCTGGAGCGGAGTGAATAGGCGAGCACGTCTGCATATGTGTGGCCACAAAGATCTCGGATTTTTCTTCTCCTTCCTGAGAGAGAGAGAGAGAGAGAGAGAGAGAGGGAGGGAGGGAGGGAGACAGCGAGCACATGTAGAGAGGAGCCGGGACGAGAGACAGAACAGTAGAGAGCTGTCAGGCTGCGAGGAGGCAGCAGAGAGACGACTCACTCATTTTCTTGGAGTACGTTTTGCCTCCATCTCTGACGCGTGCGTGCACAGATAGCATCGCGGACACAAAGATGGTAAAGTTTGAGTGTGCGTGCTACTTCTTACCTTCCTGTGAAAAACTGTGAATCATTTTAAGGATCTGGACTTAAGCCTGACACACTTGGACATCACTGGGACTTCACAGTTTACTTTGGCAGGCAGTTTAGCCCTTTCTCTGAGTTCTACACTGAGTTAGTGTGTCAGTTGCCAGAATTCAGTACATTTGAAGCTGGACTTGGACTCCCCGTGTGCGATGAGGAGAAGGATGCAATTGCTGGTGGTGGTCCTGCTAGCCCACCTCGGTGCCACCTTGACAGGAGCGTGGAGAGCATCTCAACCCAGACTGCAGTTCACACACCCTGGTAAGAAGCAGCACGTCCATTTCTGAGCATTTCTCTTTATGTTTCCTTTAGTGTTTCAAGTCTTGGTTCCCCACACGTACATGCAGGTGGCTGGAATCATGTACCGCTTCACATTTTTTCCCACTTTTCTTTCTTTGTCCTTCTATTAATGCCCACACACTGTTATGCAATTCATGTATAAATTATACAAAGCCTTTCTGTTCATGTACCTGTCTCCATCAGCCCTTTTCTTTCCTATATTGTCCTCCAACTCTCTAACCACCTGTATTTAATCAATCATCCTCCAGTAGTCAGGTTCAGAGTGTGACAGCCGTATCTTTAGCCCCACCTTGCTTCCTCCTTTCACTGTGAGGTCTGACACTTTAAGTGAAAAGTAGTGCTTTTGTCCTTTTGTCACTTTTGAATAATAACAGCATATTCTTGCAAGTTAAGAGTCTTTGTAAAACCACATGTCAGACGTGGCAAATGACATAAAAAACAAAAGTCCGGGAAAGAAAAGAAGAAATGAAAGAACCGATTTAAATGCAGCACTCATAAGAGTATTTCAGATAAGCTCTTATTGCACAAGAAAATAGAGTGCAAGTGTAACTGTAGAAGGCACGGCAGGTAAAGATGAACCAGCCAGTCAAGTGGGATAGTGTGGAGGATGTTTGCTGCTGGCAGTTTGGGTAATTATTTTAGTGTTTGTCTCTGATTTCTCTTGGCTAAACTGGGACTTTGCCAGACAAAAAGTCATGCTGCTTCTTCTTCCCGTTGTATTTTGGTTTGAACAGCTTGAACAGCATTATGAGAAAACCTGTACATGCTGCTTCTTTGGCAAAAATACCCAATTACAGTGTTATCCTTATCAATCGAGAAGTTTTTCTAAAGCATAACGAAAGCATGGAGAATTCATGTGCAAAGCCTACTTTATCGACTCGAGATTAATTTCCTGTCAAGCTCAAATCTTTTGCCAGCCCCTCTGAAGCACTTCGTTAATGAAGTTTCAAACTCGAAAGACCTTCTCCATGACAGCACCTCAAACCTCCCGTCACCCCACCTCGCCCCCTCCTCCAGGATTTGGAAATGTGTCCTTGTCTGTTAGTTTCAGTTATGGCTAACAAAGAAATAATTATCTCATGGCAGAAATCCCAGATTCAGATCATCAGTGAATTAATTATTTCTTGGCCCCGGGCCGATCTGTCCGCTGTAGTGAGGTCCACGCAGTGGTGGAAGGACACACATAACAGAACCTCCTCTTAAAAAAAGGGAAAGGACAGCTGTAGCCACTTGAAGTTTCAGCTGTTTGTCGGTGGAGAACTGCATTGTGCTTCTGTGTGCGTTACACATTTTTTCCTCTTTCTCCATGCACTTGTATCACTGTGCAGCATGTCGCATGAACTATGCTGTTACAGGCTGATGCGTTGGTGAACCGGAGTTGATTTTGACTACTACAAGGTGGTGCTGTTCTGCATCAGCTGCTCCAGTTTTACTGTTTACTTTACCCTCGTGGATGCAGCAGTTGGGTGGGGTCTGCCTCGCTGAAGAAACAAGGGGACTCTAGGATGATGTGTGCGTAACAAACACTGTAGCTATAGATGCTCTTGTCACCACTGAATAGGGCAGGACTAAATGCTTTGACCCGTTTTGGGGTTTTGCTGTTTGAGGATAACAAATGTGACGGTCAAAAGTTTTGTGAAAGCAAAATCCTGTAATTAAAACAGGATTTGGATTTCAGCGTTTGCCCTCGCGGCTCTGGCGAATCCCTTTCAAATGAAAAGGATTTTTGAGGCCTTTAGTTACAGCGAGGTAAACTCAACTCCCTTTAATCATGTTTACCGGAGCCACCGTTGATTACGACACCAGCTGATTACACATCCTTGCATAAGCCGAAAGATGCTGTAGAATCCGTACTTTAAATCTGGAGTCGACCAATTGTGACCTAGAAAGTAAAGAGAGAGGGAGAAGGGGAATCCTTTTGGATTCTCCCAGGGGGGAGTTTGGCTCTAATGGAATCTGGAGTAGCTTCGATTGAGTGATTGTGATACAATAGGTGCCTGCATGTCCTTGAATATATATGGCTGCATATTCTTGGACAGGAATATGGAGTGTGTGAGTGTTGGCGTGTTGGTGCATGTGTTTAAAGGCTTCTGCATATGTACCTAAATAGAGCAGCTTCATTTCCAGGATTTCTGCCCATTTTACTTTTTGTTGTGTATTATGTTGAGACGAATCCTCGCATCCTTGAACAGCAGCGGTGTAGGTGTGCGTGTGCGTATGTATATATGTGTCTGTATGTGTGTTTCCTATCTACAGCGGTCAATATGCTCGTCTCTGGAAAGAGAACAAAAAGAAAAGTATGATGTGTTTACTGTGGTGCCCACCATCATGCTGTTGTACACATTTGTTTTTGTTTGTGTGCGCGTGCACGCTCTTCCTGCCTCTCTGTGGGAGCTCTATACTGTGGTCATTTCCCTTCTCATCACCACAGAGGTTTTCCTCAGACACAAGGAGGAGATTTTTTGTTTTTGTCATGGAATTGCTGTAATTACTCGAAATATTTTTTGGCCGCTTAGAGACACTGTACATTTAGCTTTTCCTTTTCCTTTGGGATGCACAGCAGATGATTAACTAAAAGAGAAAAAACAGTACAGGCTGAGATTTAAGTGAAGTATTTCACCCTATCACTGGAGAAAATTGGCTACTACAAAGAGCTTTGAAGCAGAAACCAAAAGCATCCCTCAGACTCAAGTGAGTGGTACAGCAGCAGTAAATTGATGATGAAGTAATAGAAGTAAAATAGACAACTGAGGGAAAAGGTACAGGAGACAAAAAAAAACAAAAACAAAAAAATTTTATCCACTGAGTTGGTGCCTCAGTAGCAGCACTGCTGATGAGACAGTTCAGAATGTGAAAGGGCGTACAACATTGGGACCATGGGACAAAAGCAGTGATGTAATGAAACAACAATGCTAACGCTCACTAGCCTTATTGACCCCTGGATCATTGAACTAGCATGCTTCCTCTGCTGTCAGTCATGCCTGCTGTTCACAATCCCGAGTCTGTGTCTAGAATAATGACTGGATAAGTTGATGGGTGTTTTCTTAGATTTCAAGAAAAAAACTATTGGTTCATTCAGCAAATGGCCCAAAAAGTCACTGTAATAATTTTACAGCAGCAAGAAAAGATGTTAGTTATTATAAAGTTGGCCAAGGCAGTGTAGGAGGAGATTGTGGTGGATAGAGCATGTGAGATAATTATTTCCAACTGACAGCGAATGTTACTTTGTTCTTTTTTTTTTAAACTACAACCACAAGCCTTGTCTGAGCTACTTTAAAAAACACCATGTTCACCCCAGATGGGACTCAAACCCACAATCCCTGGCTTAGGAGGCCAGTGCCTTATCCGTTAGGCCACTGGGGCTCTGGCGGGGTATATATGTGGAGACAGTTTGTGTTATCAACTTTGCTATGAACCACAACAGATGTGACTTGAATTCTCAGTCACTGGGTTTGGAGGCATGTAGTATCCTGCAGTATCTCTGAAAACTGCAGTGATATATATATATATATATATGACAAAGGTCCTTTTACCTTTTACTGAGAAATATAACTGACCAAACAGCTTTGTGTGTGTCTCAGAATTAAAAAAAACAAAACAAAACAGCTTTAAATACTTAAATGCACGCTTGATTACCTCCTAACCCCCACCTATCTCTTAATGGCTAAATGATCCCATTTATTCACTCGCCAATACACACACAGACACACTTATGTATAATGAGTCCATTATCCCGGCCATTCAGTCAGTGATAGTGTGCATTTCTTGAGGGAAAATGGCAGTTATAGATACGATCTGTGTCCCCCGCACACATGCAGACGTACACATTTGCTTAGGAATGTGTTATGTGAAACCTGTTTGGTGGATTGCTGCATGAAGACCCTATAAAATAATTACTCTGGATGCAGCATGTGAGACTTCACGCACACAGTAACGCTGTATACCCGAACGCAGCTACACAAATGTGTATGTGTACAAAAACACAATCATTACAAGTTCCTAAAGAAGAAAGCAGTCCCTTACAGCTGCATCAGCACCAACCACCCTTCCAACTCTGAAACTAAAGGAAGCATCACGATGATGTGGCGAGGATGAGAATATCATCCTCGCCACATTACCACAGCAAAACTTCATAAAAGCCTCAGAGGAGCTGCGGCTGGCTTATCTAAGTGAATTCGAACCTATTAACTCACACAGAGGCTGAGTCATGTTTTATTCATGTGGCATTCACTTCATCAATTGGTTTGCCATAGACATTTAATAGCAGTCAGTCTCTGTAGTGAATTGGAATGAAGTCAGAGTTTGCTTGGTGTGAATGGAGACACTGGCTTTGATGGCTCACCTTTAAACTACTGATTCCTTGTGATGTGGCGTAATCCGGGCATTTTACTCATCCCGCAGTTTCTCTCTGGACAAATGCCCACATTGTAATGTGAACGTAATGAGTCGTTTTAAATTGCATGCTATTAAAATGCAAATTGTGTGGTTATTATACACAGTAGATTCGTTCATCAACGTCCAGATGCATGTTTGCTCATGCGCTTGTCCGCGGGACTCAATCTGGGTTTTCTAAGAGAGAAAATGTTGCTACAGAAAAAGCTATAGTTAAGATAAATCCTTAAATAGTTTCATTTTTATCTCTGTGATATTTAAGGACGGTTAAAGCCCTGGCATTGCCCATCCACGAGCTGACTGGTTTTGATAACGCAGAAGGACATTTATTATGCAGCTGTGTTGTCTGTGAGACACACAAACCAGCAGCTGTCAGCATATGTGGCCACTGTTTGCCTTAAATGAGTAGAGAGAGATTGTAGAAAGAAAATGCAGGTTGTTCCAAAAAGATAGGACGGTTTATTGGTTTTAAACTTGATGTTCTCACCTCACAGATCACAGATATTTGGAATCCCAGATTTTAGTGCTATTCAGGCTCATTAGCTTAATCTGTAGCTTAATGGATTACC